AATACACCATAATAAAGTGAGATTTATCCCAGTTATGCAAGGATGGTTCCACATACAGAAATCAATAAACGTGATACATCACATTAATAGAATGAAGGACAAAAACCATATGATCAGATATAATCAATTAGTAAACTGATGCAGAAAAAGCATTTGATAAAATATGACATTCCTTCCTGAAAAAAACTGTCAACAAACTAGACAGAAGGGACATACCTCAACATAATCAAGACCATATATGACAAACCCACAGCGAACATCATCCTGAACGGGGAAAAGCTGAAAGCCTTTCCTCTAAGAACTGCAACGAGACAAGGATGCCCACTTTCACCACTCCTATTCAACATAATGTTGGAAGTCCTGGCCAGAGCAATCAGGCAAGAGAAAGAAATAAAAAGCACCCCAACTGGCAAAGAGGAACTCAAATCGTCCCTTTTTGCTGATGATATGATCCTATATCTAGAAAGACTCCGTCAAAAAACTATTAGATCTCATACATTCAGTAAAGTCACAGGATACAAAATCAACATACAAAACTCAGTAGTGTTTCTACATACCAATAATGGAATATCTGAGAAAGAATTCAAGACAACCACCCCATTGACAATTACTATAAAAAAAAAAAAAAAAAACCCTCGGAATAAATTTAATCAAGAGGTAAAAGATCTATACAAGGAGAACTACAAAGCACTGAAAGACACTGAAGAAGACACAAACAAATGGAAAGCATCCCATGCTTGTGCATCAGAACTACTATCATTAAAATGACCATACTGCCCAAAGCCATCTACAGACTCAAGGCCATCCCTATCAAAATATGTCATTTTTCACAAAATTAAAAACAAATCCTAAAGGTCATATGGAACCAAAAGAGAGCCTGAGTAGCCTAAGCAATCCTGAGCAAAAAGAACAAGGTTGCAGGCATCACACCACCTCACTTCAAAATCTATTACAAGGCTGTAGTAACCAAAATAGCATGGTATTGGTCAAAAAAAAAAAAAAAAAAAAAAAAAAAGACACATGGACCAATGGAACAGAATAGATAAACCAGAAATAAGTCTACATATCTACAGTCAATTTATGTTCAACAAAGTTGCCAAAAACATACACTGGGGTAAGGACAGTCTCTTCAATAAATGGTGCTGGGAAGATTGGATATCCATACACAGAAGAATGAAACTGGATGCCTACCTCTCACCATCTACAAAAACCAGCTGAAGATGGATTAAAGATTTAAATGTAAGACCCAAAACTATAAAACTACTAGAAAAAAAAGACAGGGAAAACACTTCAGGAACCCAACAATTTAAAAATAAGTAATCCCATTAAAAAGTAGACAAAGGACATGAACAGACATTTCTCAAAAGAAGATATGCAACGACCAACAGCTATACGAAGAAAAAAAAAAAGAAGCTCAACACCACTACATATCATCCAATCCAGCAATCCCACTACTGAGTATTTACTCAAAGAAAAAGAAGTCAGTGTGTCAAAGGGATACCTGCATGCCCACATTTACTGCAGCACTATTCTCAATAGCAAAGATGTAGACACAACCTAAATGTCCACCAATGGATGAACGGAGAAAGAAACTATGGTATATACCATCTCTTGCCAGTCAGCATGGCGATTATTAAAGTGTCAAGAAACAACAGATGGTCACGAGGTTGTAGAAAAACAGGAACGCCTTTCCACTGTTGGTGGGAATATAAATTAGTTCAACCATTGTGGAAGACAGTGTGGCGATTCCTCAAAGATCTAGAATCAGAAATACCACTTGACCTAGCAATCCCATTACTAGGTACATACCCAAAGGAATATAAATCATTCTGTTACAAAGATACATGCACGCATATGTTCACTGCAGCACTATTCACAATAGCAAAGACATGGTATCAACCCAAATGCCCATCAATGATAGACTGGATTTTTAAAAAGGTGGTATATATATACCATGGAATACCATGTAGCCATCAAAAAGAATGAGATCATCTCCTTTGCAGGAACATGGATGGAGCTGGGAGCCATTATCCTCAGCAAACTGGCACAGGAACAGAAAACCAAACACTGCGTGTTCTCACTTATAAGTGGGAGCTGAACAATGAGAACACATGGACACAGGGAGGGGAAAACACAGACTGGGGCCTGTTGGTGGCAGGGTAGGGGGAGGGAGAGTATTAGGAAAAATAGCTAATGCATGCTGGGCTTCATACCTAGGTGATGGGTTGACAGGTTCAGCAAACCACCATGGCACATGTTTACCTACGCAACACACCTGCACATCCTGCACATGTACCCCGGAAAGTAAAATAATTTAAAAAGAAAAGAAAGAAAATGGGGTATATGTATACACAAGGGAATACTATTTGGTCATGAAGAGTGAACTCATGTCATTTGCAGCAACATGGATGGAACTGGAGGTCATTATGTTCAGTGAAAAAGCCAGACACAAAGACAAATTCTGCATGTTCTCACTGATGTGTCAGCTAAAAAAAAAAAGAAAAAAAAAAGGTGGCTCTCATGGCGGTAGAGAAAACAACAATAGATACTAGAGGATGGGAAGGATGTATGGGTGGGAGGGAGCAAGAGATGTTGGCTAGTGGGTGCAGGGAGCCGAAGGCCCGTGGGATGTGACCAACTCAGCATTCCACTGGAGGCTGTATGATCAAACAGCAAATTGTTTACCATGAATGCAGGATGTGAGCAAACTCACCACTGCTCCTGCCGACACAAGGTTTGCTGGAGGCCATCACCCCCTGGCACCGAGGTTATCTACTGCGACATCTAGAGCCTGGTGTTCAAGGAATGCAGTCTTGCAAGCCTACTCCAGACTGAGCAGCTGACCCCTTCCTTCCACCCTCCTTCTATCTCTTTTGCCTAATAAATATGGAGGGCTGTGCAAACCTCAGGGCCCTTGTCCACTAGAGGCAAGGTGCCCCCGATCCCTTCTTCCAAATATACTCTTTTGTCTCTTGTCTTTTATTCCCGTGTTTGCCCCCTTTGTTCAGTTCCCCTAGGTGCATGAGGGTTACTTAGTTGTACCCCAAACAGCAACAGAACCGGGTGCCCCACAAGTGGGTACAAACATACAGTTAGAAGAGTTAAGCTCTCACGTTCCATAGTAGCACTGGGTGACTGTAGTCAGCAACAATGCACTGTGTATTTCACAGTAGATAGAAGGGAAGACTTGAAATGCTTGGAATGTGGAAAGGATACTCAAGATGATGGACATCCCCAAATACTCTCACTTGATCATTACACAGTCTATGCATGTAACGAATACACGTACCCCATAAGTATGTAAATATTATGTATCAACAAAATATAGTTTTTGTCTATCAGGTTTAAAAAAACATATTTTAATATAGTGTTGCTGAAAACATGGGAAACAGGCACTCCGGTATATTAAGAGTATAAATTGAGCTCCAGAGGTTTAATTCATCCATATCTAAATAAAAGGCATATACCTCTCAATCCAACAATTCCAATTCTAAGAGTTTATCCCACAGACACGATCACACCAAGGCACACATAAATGATATTCACGACAATGATTAGCTGCAAACAAAACGTTCCCCAGCTGGGGACGGTGGAATGCTAGGCCCGAGAGCATCCATATGGTGGGACGTCATGCTGTGCATAAAGACAAGAGGGAGGCAGGTGGGTGGATACGGACCTCCCTTTAAAAAAGAAAGCAAAGGATGCATCAGCGTGTAAAACACGGTGACGCTCAGGTGTGCACCAAGTCACAGGGAGGAGACCTGAGTGATTTTTGTATCAGTGCCTTTGCCTGTCAGGAGGGAAAATAGCTGGACAAGAGGCAGGAAGATGACTGACTTTAAGTTGTATCCTTTTATCTTTTTTTTCTAAACCAGGTACACAATTGTTTTAAGATAGGGTCTTGCTGTGCTGCCCAGGCTGGAGTACAGTGGCACAATCATAGCTCATAGCAGCCTCAACCTCCCAGGCTTAAATGATCCTCACACCTCAGCCTCCCACGTAGCTGGGACCACAGGCATGTGTCACCACGCCTACTTAATTTTTGTAATTTTTTGTAGAGACAGGTTTTTGCCATGTTGCCCAGGCTGGTCTTGAACTCCTGGGCTCAAGTTATCTGCCTGCTTCAGCCTCCCAAAGTGCTGGGATTACAGGCATGAGCCACCACAACCAGTTTTTTTTTTTTTTTTTTGAGACAGAGTTTCACTCTTGTTGCCCAGGCTAGAGTGCAATGGCACGATCTCGACTCACCGCGGCCTCTGCCTCCCTGGTTCAAGCAATTCTACTGCCTCAGCCTCCTGAGTAGCTGAGATTACAGGCGTGCACCACCATGCCCAGTTAATTTTGCATTTTTAGTAGAGATGGGGTTTCTCCATGTTGGTCAGGCTGGTGTCGAACTTCTGACCTCAGGTGATCCATCTGCCTCGGCCTCCCAAAGTGCTGAGATTACAGGCGTGAGCCACCATGACCAGCCCCAGCCTTTTTAATTTAAAAATACAGTGGGAAAAAATAATAGCTTACAAATGTGGCAATCATAATAGTTTGCAATGTGGACAAGTTTTTTTTTTAACCTCTTCCTTCTAGCACTTTCTAGGGCCCTGATAAGTCATTTGTAGGGAGACCTCTAGTCCTTAGAACCTGATTTCTCATTCTGGTTTCACAAAAGAACAAACTATTCATTTGTACAAACTAGGATTAAAAGTTTCTCAGAGCCAGGTAAGGTATTGTCAGGTCCACTGGCCCCGGCCCTGCACACACCCTAAAAAGCTTCAATGCCCAGAGGCAGAACCATGCACCAAGAGAAGCCCATGGAGAGAGCTGCATCCCCCGGGCTCCCAAGCCTGGGCCAGTGCCCTTTCTCTAAGTGTACCACCTGGAGGCAGGTCCACTTGTGATCTGCACTCTCCTTAGAACAAGTCAAGGTAGAAAGCATGTGAGTGGACCAAGTCCTAACCTTTGAGGCAGCCTAGGCAGAAGCAGCAATGAAGGATCATCAAGGCACAGACGCTGACAGACCTTTATTTTAATTTTTTTTTAACTGAGGCATCATGGCAGTTTAATAGTGAGGTATTTAGTTGCATTTTTATAAAAAACATTCCAAAACAAAGTGACAATAGGGACCTAAATTCCTTGGACTCATGGTAGAGATGTTTGAGCATCCTAATATTCTATATCTGCCAACATGTCAGTTCAGAAGATTACAACGTTCCCCACAAGCCATTAAAAAACTGGCCAAGGACAATTGGTCATGACTGAGTCCTTGTCTGCATCACGCTCCTGCTCCTCCACACACTGTCTGAGCGTGCACTTTTCTTTTGAAGGCTAATTTACAAGGCATTCTGCCTGAGTCGGGGTATTGCTAAGTGGAAGGTTTGATGAACTTCCTAGTAGAAAATGCAGGGTCTGCAAAATGCGAACAGCTAGATTTACTATGGCTTATAATCAAGGTAAACTATATAATAAGAGGTTGTATTTTCATCAGATCTGCAACAGGTCAAAGCTTACGGCAAAAGACAAAAGGCAGAGGTATGTATCTTAGAGACAAGCTCACAGTGCCTTTAAAGTGGAGAATCCTCATGGCCAACTGGTGACTCACCGTGTGTTGTTATCCAGACGTGGGCAGATGGCAGCTCTGCTGACCCAACAACCCACCTACATGATATTCAGCATTTCGGGATCACCGGACCTTGTTTAAAGCGAGTTTACACTGCTGAATTTTCCATCATCCCCCTTGCGAGCAGCCCTGGGCAAATGGCTGTACCAACAACTGTTGACTCAGGCGCCAGTCCCCGGAGGTCTAGGACCCAGGCCAGCACCGAGGCCTAGACAGGTGTGACTCAGGCACCAGTCCCCGGAGGTCTAGGACCCAGGCCAGCACCGAGGCCTAGACAGGTGTGACTCAGGCGCTGGTTCCCAGAGGTCTAGAACCCAGGCCAGTCACTCACCACTGATTTATGGAATGGACCATGTATATATTTATCAACCAAGCTCCCAAATTTAGGGCACCCAGTGTCCCTCACCTTGAAGTTAGCAAGAGAACCACAACTTTGCTTCTCTGTAGACAGATCTCCCAACTTTCCCATCTATTCATGACACACATTCATTTAAAAACAGCTGAGAGAGCTGGGTGTGGAACCTTAATTACAAACACCTCCTGAGGACTCACGCCACCACGAGACCATGTTACCTCAGTCTCCTGCCTCCATTTCCCCATTTTATACAGTTCATGCTTTTAAATACGAACTCCCATGCCATTGGAAGCTGTTCCCAGAAAGCGTCGAGATTCATCCAGATGCCTCTGTCCCTTACCCATCAGAACAGACCATCAGGTCCCACCTTCTAACAGGATGGCCTGAGTGAGGCCATGTGAACCTCAGCGGGAGGAAGCCCCTCCTCAATAGAGAAGTTGCGCTCCCAACAAACGCTAATGCCAGCGGGATTCCCTAACGCCAGCGGGATTCCCTAACGCCAGCAGGGGTCTGAAAGGTCTCAGCTGCTTAGGATTTCATTGGTAAAAAAGAACAAAGTATAAGATTGCGTTACTAATTTAACACTTAAGATTTCTCGGAGAGATCCTGAGAGTGACCCTGTAGGGCAAAAAATAAAATTTAAAAAACGTCTATTTCTGGGAGATCCACCCATCAGTCAGGACATGGCTTCAGAGGGCGTCTTGTTGGCACATCTGGGACTACCTGGCTGTCACCCGTGTGGCACTCTATGACAGTTAAACCATGGGGGAGGGAAGAGGGGCTGCAGGCGGTGCCCCCTCTACCCAGAGGGATCCAGGAAGGCTCAGGCGGCTCCTCACTCATCGTCCGGGATTTCCCGGAGCCCTTCGCTGTGGCGCGACCGCCCACTGATCTCCAGCAGGGCCTGGGCTTCAGGGTCCGCGTCCAGGATGCTCTTGTTGCCCTTGGCCTTGAGAAGAGAAGAGAAGAAAGGGTGGGTGTGTTCCATGATAGCCCAACAACAGGCAGCAGCTTCCTGCTAGTTTTCCAGCCTTCTCGGGTGGAATCGGCTCTGGTTCCCCCTAAGGTCCCTCCCACTCTGGGATTCAATGGCTGGGTGGGTAGGAGGTATTACAGGAGGTTCAGGGGTCAATAGCAAATCAGGTGCAGACCAAGAGAAGACGGAACCCCAGACCTTCCTCTTGCAGGTGGGCAGACAGAATGAAGGGCCACCTGGGCTCGCACTTGAGGACCCCCCCGCTACTTCCCAAGGCTGCTCTACTAAACCGCCCACAAATCCCAGACAAGACTTCAGCCATGCATCTCCTGGCATCCAAGCCAGCATCAGCTGCCAGGATCAAATTTGTGAGAAACTATCTGCAGACAGAAGAGTAAAGGCGGTAATGGTAAGAAAATGCAGAAAGGCCCCAGGCTCAAGAGGCCGTCCTGGGAGGCAGAGGATGGCTCCACTCACCAACTGCTCCTCTGATGGGTCTCCAACTGCCCACACCTCCATCTTATCAAACTGGAAGTTCTCCTGGGCCGACAGCTGCGGGCTGTTGTACGTGGTGCTCGTGGGCTTAGCTCTGCTGTGTCCTTTCCCAAAATCAACATCCACCCAAAGCCCAAAGTAATTGTGCTGCCCCCCCATCCCCTGCAAAGGAAGCCAGGACAGAGAACAGCATCAGCAACTCCCCAGGGCCTGCAGACATCAAATACCACGAGCCAGCCTCTCACCTTAAGTACCAGCCTGAGACAGGGTGGGTGAGTGTGAACGCCATCATCTATGTTTTCCTGAACTGCGAAATATATCAATTGCTGCCATTTAAGCATCCCATGCCAAGTGACTAGAACACTCATCTATGTCTCCAGACACCCACCCACGGCTCTTTCTCAGGAGGATTTGCTTGCTGAAAGCACAAGTGACGTCAGAGAATTAAAAATGTTAAATATATATATAGAAAGAGACCTCCAGGGCCCAGGGCCCCACCCAGTTAAGGGGAGAAGGGAACACAGAAGCTGATACTGCAAATTCCCCATGTTGGGGCACCAGTGCTCCCGCTTCCGGGCAGCGATCTTCACCCCAAGACAGACTGGGAAACTCAGCTCCGAGTGTGTGGCTTACAGGATGCAGAGGCAGACCCGGAGGCAGAGGCAGATGCGAACCCCTGTGCCTTCCACCCCTAGTCACATGGCTGGGCTCTGAGCTGTTCAACCTCGCCCTGCTGAGAACCTCCTCTGGTCTCTGGTAGGCCTGGAACACCTGGCACGCCCTAGTTCTGACCCGAGCACCCTGTCCGGAGTTGACACTCAGAGCCGCTCTGTCCCTCAGGGCCAATGACGAGCGATGACCGGGGCCTGCCAGGTGCTCCCTGTGAGGCTGGCACCCTCTCTCCTGCCGCCACCAGATCACCCTTTCCAGAAGATGCCAGCTGTTCTAGGTGGCCCAGCCACGCCCCTCCCTCTCTCCAGGGCATCAGTGTGGTAAGCCTGGGAAGGACACTGGCCCCTCTAGCGGACCAGCCTTCTCTGCCCTCAGCTCTGCAGACACAGGACTGGATTTTCCCAGTAAGAGCTTTCTGTCAAGTAGCAGAGGAAAGAAATCGGCAGGGGAGCTGGGAGGAGTAAGTTGAGCTTCGGCGTGGATGCTGCCCCAGCTCCTGCCCTCGGGCCTGCCTGGACCCATGCCCACCTGCTCCCTGTACCTGGCCTAGGCCTCCCCCACCTCCCTGTGCTTTCTGTGCCACGTCACCAAGCTGAAGCGAGGGCTGGACAGGAGCCATGGTCACCCCAACTGGGGCCCCACATGCTGTCTCATGAGCTGCCGGCCGTCCATTCCCCTCAGTCCCGCACTCCCAGGCATGAGGCAGGCCAGTGACGTGCAGGGACGGGTCTGGCGCTAACACTATCCCTAGCCTCAAAGGCCACAAACCAATCATCTGAGGGCCAGGAAAAGGGGTCAAGTGCGCCATCTGCACACAAACCACAGAGAAGCCCCAGCAGAGGCCACATCCTTCTCTAAGGGAAATCCTGGCCCAGCTGTCACTACCCCCAGCACCAGCCCTGGAGGCAGAAGGAACTGGACGTGGCGTGTGTGAGGAGATGAATGCCATTCACCCTGCCCTGATCTATGGAGCTGAGCCTCGGGGTTGACACCTTCGCGGGGGGATATCACCAAGGCGAGACCCCCACGCTCCGCCCAGGCTCACCAGTCCATTCGGGATCGTCTGCTGTCCGTGGTTCAGGTACATGTAGTGGTCGTTGTAGCCTGTGTGTGTGTACACGGCCATGCTGGGACAGATGGAGAACAGGAAGCATCTGTCATCCCCTGAAAGTGGCCAGAGAAGAAAACAAACAGGGTCAGTGTCTGAGCTGGTCCCAGAGGGCCAGAAATGCCAGTAAGCTGAGGCTCAGGAAGCAGCACGGCCAAGACCCCTCTCACCCATATCCAGGTGTCGGCAGACCGGGGGTTGGGACAAGCTGCTGGGGACCCAGGTGGATGAGCTGGGGGTGCAGGGATTAGAGGGACAGCTAATAAGGAATGGACATCTTTTAGCTCTGGCCGGGGGAGCAGAGATCACAACTCTGCCCGCTGTCTGGAGTCGGTCCAGGCTGGCCAAGCACATGCAAGCCAGAAAGAACAGGCTTCCTTTAGCTTATGAGCGAGGAGCAGGCGGTCACTCCGCAGAGACCAAGGCCTCCAGCCCAGCCTACCCGAGCAGGCAAGTGACGCTGCATAGTGCCGAGCCTGGCCTGAAAGAACATACCACGCAGAGAGAGAAAACCTGCAGGTGCAGAGCTGCCCCCAGGGGCACAGCCTGGGAAAGGTGGTCGTCTACTCTCACCCACAGGCATGGGGTGGGCACACAGGCCATTAGAAGAAAGGTACCAGTCAAAACTCTGGAAACTATGGGTCCCCAGTCTCAGAGACTCCTTCCCTCCATAAGCACCTCAGCACTGGGGAGAGGGCCGTAGGCCAGGCCTCATCCTCGGAGCTCCCAGCGAGGGGCGCTTCCCACCATGTTCTGAGGACTTGGCCAAAATAGTTGCCCGCCTGGACACCAGCATACATAAGTGTCACAACAAGCCGGAAGGCTGCTCATAGGAATTTGGGGTTGGGCTAGTCATCAGGGGGGAAAGAAGTCACAGGAAGAAAATTGGGGGCACCATGGTAGAATGTAGATAAGAAGGAGGCACCAAGACCAGGAGGCTGGAAGAGGATGATGGCCCTGAGCAAGCAAACAGGGCCCAGTCTGTAGTGTGGGCTGACACCACCCAAGGCCTCCAATCTAGAAAGATCCCCAGGAGGCCTCTGCCATCCTGGAGGCTTCTGGGAGGCAGCTTCCAAGGTCAAGAGGGAGGCCCTGAAACAGAGCCCCCCATGGAGAAGGGATCCCATGAGGACGAGGTGTGGGACAGGTAGGCAACAGTGGGGCTTGAGAGCGTCGGGCGGAGGAAGGAAGGTAGTTAGGCTAGAAAGTTCCACCGGAACCAGCTAAGAGAAGGACTTTACTCTGGGCTACAGACTGAGGCTTGCTTCACTGGGGTTTCAGCAGCCTCAGAGGCTTGAGGGCAGGTTTAGATGTCACTATGAACAGCTCAGTCACACCTGACTGTATTGGCCCCACCTGACCCTCCCGTGCTGGACTTCAGGTACGCGGCCCTTTGCTTTGCAATCCTGAGCCTGTCGTACTGCGGAGCAAAGTGGCGGGGCCACGGAGCTCAGGCTTTGGCTGCGTGGGCCCAGATGCCAGTCCCCCCCCAAGGGCCATTCTCCATGGGGAAGGCCAGGTGGGGGAAGCATCACTTCCCAGGATACAGGGCAAGGACCTGAGGAGTTATGATTACCTGAAAAAAAAAGTCATGCCAACAGCAAGGGCTCCTTATCTCATTCTCATAAAACAATACTCAAGCATGCCGCCACCACCGGGCGCTGGGCCGCTGAGGAGCTGCCTGCCCACACAGCATGGTTTCATGTAATTCTGAGGAACTGAGGCCCAGAAAATTAATCAGTCACCTTGCCCAGGGACAGAGCTGGGTCTCAAAATCCTGTGTTCAATCCAAAGCCTTGGGCCTTTTCAACTACTGCACAGAAAACACAAGCAAAAAAGGCTCTAAGTATAATCAATTCTTCTTTCCTCAAATAAAACTAAGAAAACAGTCCTTTAAAAAGGTTGACGAAGCCACATCGCCCCACAGTGAAAGATCCGCCATACTCAAGGAGGGGGCCACCTTCCTCAGCATTTGCCTTCATTGTTTGCCCCACAGCTATTAAATCCCTTAAAGTCTCAGATATTAGAGGTCATTATTTCCAGGACAAGCGGACAGCACGCTCTCTGAACTTGACCCAAAGTTCATGCATTTGTCCCATACATGGTGCGAGGCTGCCCTCTGCTGTTATTTCCCGAGTACGGACACGTACTGCAACAGAATGAACTCTGGTTTGAAAACTTGGCCACTGCATTTTTCGCGTATGCTTCAGGAAGATTAAGTCTGCTTGTTAATAAAACATGAAGAGCCGGCAGAGTCCATCTGAAATTAACATTAAGGGCTGTGGAGGTAGCAGCAGCTTTAACCTGATCATGATGCTCAGGGTCTTTTCACATCCTAAAGCCGAGCCTTCAGCTGTGTAGTGAGGCAGAGCAATGTGTAATTTCCCTGGAGCCTGAGGCTGGGCTGGTGCCCCATGCCTGTGACATGGAGGCAGGGAGAAGTAGGTGTGCAGAAGACAGTGACCATGGCAAGGCTGAGGCTGCTGTCTCTAGAAAGGCCCACCAGCAGGGCTGGCACCTGGAAACTTTGATTTGGGGAGAATTCCTACCATTCCCAGAACTAAGATAAAGATCTAGAACATCCTGAAACCTAGATATAAATCGAACCCTAGAAACAATGCGATCTAGGAGATAGAGGTGCCCAACCCTCAACCTGGGACCCCTGCTACCTGTCCCAGCCAGATGCCACCTAGCCTCTGCTGAAAGCTCTCCTGCAGGGGCAACTCCACCCGGACACAGTTCCCGGCCTCCAGAACCTCTGCCTGGTGGAGAGATGACCATTCCAGAGGTGCGGGGTGAGATACAGGATGTACGGGGGAGTGACGAAGGCAAACCCTGGGGATGGTGGCCCACTCTCGAGTACAGAGGACAGCCCACTGATGGGCGATGCGTCTGTCAACGTTTCAAAAACCTAGTTATTTATTTATTTATTTATTTAGAGATGGAGTCTCACTGTCGCCCGGGCTGGAGTGCCGTGGTGTGATCTCGGCTCGCTGCAACTCTGCCTCCCAAGTTCAAGCGATTCTCAAGCCTCAGCCTCCCATGTAGCTGGGATTACAGGCATGCACCATCATGCCAATTTTTGTACTATTAGTAGAGACGTGGTTTCACCATGTTGGCTGGGCTGGTCTCGAATGCCTAACCTCAAGTGGCCCACCTGCCTCGGACTCCCGAAGTGCTGGGATTACAGGCTTGAGCCACTGCGCCTGGCCTTATTATTTTATTTTTTTTAAAGATAGAGACGAGTTCTCACTATGTTGCCCATGCTGGTCTCAAACTCCTGGGCTCAAGTGATCCTCCCACCTCAGCCTCCCAAAATGCTGGGATTCCAAGTGTGAGCCACTGCACCTGGCCTGTGTTTTAAATAATTTTAAAGGACCATTTTCATCAGAATATTCTTCCTTAAGGGAAAGAGGAGAATTTACTTAGAGCCTTTCATCCAGTACATTCAAGGTCATGCAGAAAGCTTCCAAATTCCAACAAGCAAACACACATGGTGGTGGGGGCAGGGGCAGGAAGGCCCAGGGAAGGAAAACATCCGATCTGAACCAATCAGCACCTCCTGGTCCCCTCCGAGGGATCTGTGGCTTGACTTCTCCCATGCCCTGTAGACCCAGCACCGTGTAATAACCGGGCCTGTGTCCTCACCTGAAAACTGGGGGTCACACAGTCTGTCCTGAAGAACTGTGATGTGATAAACACCACTGAGTAGCATCACATTTTCCTATCGCCCCAACTGCGTCTGGAGACACACTTGGAGAAGATGGGAGAGCCAAATTTAGCACTCCCGCCCTCTCCCTTTCTCCAGAGCTCTTTGCCTGGGCTGTGCCACTCCTAGAGGTTCAGGTTACCAAGTCTTACCTTGAAACTGAGGCTTCACCTCCCAGGAGCAGGAGGCAAACCCACCAAACACGTGCTTGTCATGGTCCTCAAGGACAACCACGCAGGGTCCCCGGTGAGTGATGTGGCCGCAGAGCTGGGAGAAGCTGTGTCCGTGGAGCTCAGATGAAAAGAGCAGGCGCCAGCAGTGCCGCTGCTCCCGAGGCAGGTGGGCGTTGATGTACATGACAGAGAGGATGTCCAGGATGCTCTCAAAGCCCCTGCCCTGGTCCACTTGACGCTCGGGGACCAGGGTAGTCAGATCCAGGGACGAGCACAGGACGAGAAAGCCCTTATGAATGACCACACTCAGGAATACGGCCACGTGGGGGACCCTGAACACCCAGTCCTCGATCATGGCTCGGTCACAGTCACAGTCCAGCCACTGGGGCCCCAGAAACCTCTTGCCATCTAGGGGAAAGGGACAGTGAGCATTAGCGGGGCTGTTATGTCACCGTATAGCTACTATCTAAACCCACACTGAGTACGGGAGCCACGAGCCACACAGCAATTACTGAGCACACAAAACAGGGCTCGTGTGAACTGAGAGGTGCCGGAGGTGTAAAAGGCACACCTGATTTCAAAGACTTGGTATGAAAAAAAATGTAAATTATCTCAATTTTTAAATATTCATTACATTTCAAAATTGTATTTAGGACATAATTATTAGAATCCGTTTCCCCTGTTTCCCTTTACTCTTAACATGGTCCCTAGAAAAGTGAAAATTTCACATGGGGCTTGCTTTGTCTGTTGGCCAGCACTGATTTCAACAATCCAATTTCAACATTTTTCTCTCCTCCCCAACCAGCATTTCAGAGCCCGTCCAGATGGCGGTGCCCTGGCAATGGGGCTGGGAGCCGCTCATGAGAGGGCGTCTGTCCTGCCAAGGTCACTGGAAGGGCCTTGTTCCCAGCCAGTCAAAGGGCTGGTAGGGCACTTCCTGGGACTCCTGTAGTTTATCTGGGAAGAGCGGGTTTCATTCACCACTAATCAGGCTTAATCATACAGCACTTGGAGTCCTATTTTCCATCCCTCACCCACTAAGAGTGGAGGTGACAGGGTAAGAGTGTGGGAGCACACACCTGGGACTCCAAAGCTGGTTTCAAACTCAAGCTCAGGAACAGCATGACCATGCCAAGATCTGCACCTCTGTGCCTCAGTTTCCTCAGGTGGAAAATGGAGGTAAGGCCAGAACCTGCCCTGCTTAGTTATTACAAGGACCAGAGGAGCTTTTACATTTTAAGCTCTTGCTGACACAAAGGCTCCATTTACAGCGATTATAATTCCCAGCCTAGTGAAAATTTGAATCTAAGCTGAAATAACATTTTGTCTCAAGCCCATTTTATTAAGCAGAAAATGTAAAACTACTTCCCAACTTCTGATATTTCGAAATTCCTATCGTTTCCATTTATTTTTCAAACAGTTTCATTTCTCATTACCTATATATTACTTGAAACCTTAACGATAATTTTAATCGTCTGAATTAACTTTCTGTACTTCAATGACAAACGTTAATTTTTATTTTCATGATTCTTTTAAAATATACTAATTCTAGAGGGGTGCAGTGGTTCACGCCTGTAATTCCAGCACTTTGGGAGGCTGAGGTGGGTGGATCACCTAAGGTCAGGAGTTCGAGACCAGCCTGACCAACATGGTGAAACCCCCATCTCTACTAAAATACAAAAAAAAAAAAAAATTAGTCAGGCGTAGTGGCGGGCACCTGTAATCTCAGCTACTTGAGAGGCTGAGGCAGAAGAATCGCTTGAAACCAGGAAGTGGAGGTTGTAGTGAGCCAAGATCGCTCCACTGGACTCCAGCCTGGGCAACAAGAGACTCCATCTCAAAAAAAAAAAAAAAACTACTAATTGTAGACAGATGAACAGTTTATCCATAAGACAAATTACTGATACTTTTAAAATTCTTTCCAAGTTCCAAATACCTCATCTGAATTAATTTCTGAAATATAACCTATTTTCAAGCTGTACCTTAAAATCTGGCTTTAAAACAAAAGAGCAACATATTTATGAAGCAAGTCTGCTTTGCAATGTGATTTGCCACAAAGTTTTTTTTAATCCCAAGTAAATTTAAATATATACTCCTTCTCACCCAACAACAGAATACACATTCTTCTCACGTGTGCTTTAACCACTACCCAGAAGTGACCATCTAATAGGCCATAAATGATGTATCAACAAATTTTAAAGGATTGAAATCATACAAAGTATGTTCTTAAACATAATGAAATGAAATTAAAACAATAGTAGAAGGCAATTTGAGGCATTCATAGGCATGGAGAAATTAAATAACATACTTTTACATAGTCAATAGGCCAAAGGAAAAAATCCTAAGCGACATTAGAAAATATTGAGATCAATGAAAATAAAAACATAACCTATCAAAACTGATGGCATGCAGCTAAGGCACTGCTGAAAGGGAAATTTGCAACTGTAAATGCTGATACGAAAAAGAAGATCTCAAATCAGTAACCTAATATTCTACCTTAAGAAACTAGAAGGAGAAGACCAAACAAATTTAAAGCAAACAAAAGGGAGAAAATAAAAGCTTGGGGAAAATCAAGCAGAAACTAGAAAGACAACAGAAAATTAATGAAACTAAAAGCTGGTTCTTCAAAAAGAACCAACAAAAATGTGAAAAACCTTTAGCTAGACTGACTAAGGAAAAAGGGACAAGACACAAACGGTTCAGATCAGTAATGGAAGTGGGGACATCACTGTTGCTTTTGGGAAAATAAGGATTATTTAAAAATATGCCAACAAACTAGAAACCTAGGAGAAGGTTCAAGGGCTCACGCTTTCTGGTTTCAAAGCTTTACTACACAGCTATAGTCATGGAGACAGCAGGTACCGCTCTACAGCAAAAGACCTAAATCACCGAGTTCACGCACACTTGCCTTGCAGCTTCATCTCAGAGAGCAGCTGAGCAGCCAGCACCTGCACCCGGGGGGCGGGCCCTGGGGCTTCCTTCCCAGGCCAGCCTCTCAGCTCCTGTCGGTGGCTTAGCACGTGCACCACAGAGCCAACCAGATCCTCTGTAAACTTTAAGATTACGATTTTACCATTAAAAACAGTTCCACCATAACCTGAGACCTCCGTCATGTCCACATGGAGAATGGCAATTTTCTTTAATGCCAACTATGATGGGCCATAATGTGGGGAAAGGTCATGCAATGTATGTAGCTACTCGTTTTTCTAATGATACACGTGGCTGGCCTAGAAGTTTTCCCAAAGCCTTCGTCCAGGACTTCTGACCTCAGCCCAACAGTATTGGGGTTTAGGGCTCCCCGAGGATGGACAGCTCCACAATGCCTACTGTCTTCATTGCTCAAACCAACAGGATGATCTGCTGAGGCTCAGGAGCTCCCTGCTCCAGAAAATCCCTGATCTCCCCAAATTTGGTTGAGATCTAAGGTTTATTTTGCTGAGTTCTACTTGCTTCCAAAAAGGAAGGCAAGGCTTCCTGTTTCCGCCGCGACAGAGGGCAGGCAACTACTTTCTGGAGCTGCTGCTCGCTTCCAACAGAGAAGAGTTTGAGGTTTTCCTGCTTCTAAGATTGCAGAGGGCAGTCTGCAGCCTGGGCCCCATCCCTAGGAAAGTAGCTGAACTGGGGTTTTGTCTTAAAAATTCTCCGCCGGGCGCGGTGGCTCAAGCCTGTAATCCCAGCACTTTGGGAGGCCGAGACCGGCGGATCACGAGATCAGGAGATCGAGACCATCCTGGCTAACCCGGTGAAACCCCGTCTCTACTAAAAATACAGAAAACTAGTCGGGCAAAGTGGCGGGCGCCTGTAGTCCCAGCTACTCGGGAGGCTGAGGCAGGAGAATGGCGGGAACCCGGGAGGCAGAGCTTGCAGTGAGCTGAGATCCGGCCACTGCACTCCAGCCTGGGCGACAGAGCCAGACTCCGTCTCAAAAAAAAAAAAAAAAATTCTCCTGACGACTAAAACTTAAGATTAACAACCAACTGGTCTTCATTTCTCCTTACCATGAGCGCACTTGGTAATTGTAGAAAGCGTGTGAGTGCGTGTTTGTTTTGCTGAACTGTTTTTATTTGTGGTTTCTGTTTTGTTGTTTCAGTCTGTTTCCCATTTGGTTTGATCAACTCTACCTGACTTGGTCAATCCAAATTATGGGGAAACAAGGCCTCTGAACTGGCTAAATTCCCACAGCTGGGGAAAAAAGAAGGCAAGAACAAGGCCACCAAAAGGAAAAAAAGATTTTGACTGCCTGAGGGGCTTTATTTCCGTAACCTTTGCCAGCCAGGCCCAAACTGAAAGACCCAGGGCAGCCGCCCCGCACTCTCGCTCAGTAGCTAAGTTTCTGTCTTTTTTTTTTTTTTTTTTTTTAACCTCAACAGCCTGACTTTGGTTCCTACATCAAATCCTTTCTGGTTTGATATTTGTGTTACTTTTGAAATAGCAGTCATTTTTGTCCCAGGTAAAACATGGTAGTAAGAGATTTAAAATGATTTTTTAAAAGAGCTCAATGGTTAAAGTCAGCTTAATCAGAAGCTAATATCCAAGATATATGTGTGTGTGTGTGTGTGTGTGTTTGTGTGTGTGTGTGTGTTCATATTTAAAGGGACAAAATGCTTTTTTGTCTCTCCTAGGGTCTTGTTTTTTGAGGAAAAAAAGATTTCTTTCCCTCAGTCGACTGAATTGTCTTCTCCATTTGCCTCCACACATGTCTGCTTCCTCTGGCCACCCTCCGCTGTATGAAGGACCTAAAATAATGTCTAACAGTCTGGGATTCCTTAAAGAAAACAGAGAAGGTGCCACACTCGTTTCTCAGAGAAATGTGTGTTTCCTTATTCAACCCCAAAAGTATAAACAGACCAGTTCCTCTTAGCTCTTAAGTTCCTTGCTTTTCTACTGTGTTACCTGATTTTCCTTTGTCTAAAAAAGTTATTACTACACAGCTACTCTTTAATGAAACCAAAAGTTGGTTCACTGAAAAGATCAACAAAAATCTGAAGAACCCTTAGCTAGACTAACAGAAAAAAGGGAGACAGCTCAAATTACTCAAATCGAAATGGAAGTGGGGGCCGGGCGCGGTGGTGCACGCCTGTCATCCCTCCACTTTGGGAGGCTGAGGCAAGTGGATCACCTGAGGTCAGGAGTTCGAGACCAGCCTGGCCAACGTGGTGAAACTCTGTCTCCACTAAAAATATAAAAATTAACTTGGGGAGGCCAAGGCGGGCGGATCGCTTCAGGTCAGGAGGTCGTGACCAGCCTGGCCAACATGATGAGACCCCGTATTTACTAAAAATGCAAAAAGTAGCCAGGCATGGTGGCACACACCTGTAATCCCACCTACATAGGATGCTGAGGCAGGAGAATCACTTGAGCCTGGGAGGTGGAGTTTGCAGTGAGCCGAGATCGTGCCACTGCATTCCAGCCTGGGCAACAGGGCGAGACCCTGTCTTAAAAAGAAATAAAACAGGGCCGGGCACGGTGGCTCACACCTGGTATCTCAGCACTTTGGGAGGCCGAGGCGGGTGGATTGTCTGAGGTTGGGAGTTCAAGACCAGCCTGACCAACATGCAGAAACCCCGTTTCTACTAAAAACACAAAATTAGCTGGATGTGGTGGCACATGCCTGTGATCCCAGCTACTTGGGAGGCTGAGGCAGGAGAATCACTTGAACCCAGAAGGCAGAGGTTGCTGTGAGCCAAGATCATGCCACTGCACTCCAGCCTGGGCAACAAGAGTGAAACTCCATCTCAAAATAAATAAAATTAAATTAAAATAAGTAATTAAATAAAATATATACACAAATTAGCCAGGTGTGCTGGTGGGAGCCTGTAATCCCAGCTGCTCAGGAGACTGAGGCAGGAGGAATCTCTTGAACCTAGGAGGCAGAAGTTGCAGTGAGCCAAGATTGTGCCACTGCACTCCAGTCTGAGTGACAGAGCAAGACTGTGTCTCAAAACACACACACACACACACACAGAAAAGAAAAAGAAAAGAAATAAAAGTGGGGGCTGGGCACAGTGGCTCATGCCAGTAATCCTAGCACTTTGGGAGGCCAAGGCAGGTGAACTGCCTGAGCTCAGGAGTTTGAAACCAGCCTGGCCAACATGGTGAAACCCCATCTCTACTAAAAACACAAAAATTAGCTGTGCATGGTGGCACACGCCTGTGGTCGCAGCTACATGGGAGGCTGAGGAAGGAGCATCTCTTGAACTCGGGAGGCGACAATTGCAGTGAGTTCAAATCACACCACTGCACTCCAGCCTGGGCAACAGAGCAAGACCTCGTCACTCAGACAACAACAAAAAAAGATGATTTCTGGAAAAAAAAAACTTTTTGTGATCAAATTGGCTGTAATTAAAAGGAAATTATTTATAAGTCTTTCTAGAAATTAGGCTTAGATATTAAAAATACACTATCACACTAAATAATTTGTTAAAACAAGATTATTTTAAGATACTGATGAATAAAATCACAAGAGGTTTTAATTTTTTTTAACCCAAAAATTGAACTTTTGCTGCATCTTGCTGTTTTCTCTTTGAGAAGACCTGAGATAATAACTCCCTCCTTCAACTTTTTCGTCAGCTCCTGAACTTTTTTCCCTTCAAGTTCTAACTGCTGTTGTGGCCTGATGCCAAAAATGTTTTCCTCTTAAAAATCCAAAAGAAATGTTTTCTTCTAATGTAACATTTTGTACTCTTGACTTTTTAAAATATGTCTAAATTGTTCTATGAAACTGAAAACCTTTATGACCCAGGACACACTCTTCCTATGTCTGATTAATTCAAGTACCATTTTCATTAGCTTTGCAGTAGACTAATAGACTAACACACACACACACACACACACACACACTCATAAAATCTGGCCAGGGGCGGTGGCTCATGCCTATAATCCCAGCACTTTGGGAGGCCAAGGTGTGCGGATCACAAGGTCAGGAATTTGAGACCAGCCTGGCCAATATGGTGAAACCTCGTCTCTACTAAAAATCATAAGAATTAGCTGGGTGTGGTGGCACATGCCTGTAGTCCCAGCTACTCAGGAGGTTGAGGCAGGAGAATCGTTTGAACCTGGGAGGCGGAGGTTGCAGTGAGCTGAGATAGCACCACTGTACTCCAGCCTGGGCGACAGAGTGAGACTCCATCTCAAAAACAAACAAACAAAAAATCTGTTTGTTAGACCAGTTACCTAAAAGCGAAAAAAAAACACAAAAACCTGCCGTGGTGTGATTGCTTTGCCCTATAGGGCGGGAGTCTATTTAGGTCGCACCACTGCGCTCCAGCCTCGGCGACAGAGCGAGACTCCGTCTCAAAAAAACAAGAAAAGAAAACAGATTTAAATTTTTAAAATTAAGGTTAGCATATCCATGTAACATTTTGTATTGCTTTGAAAGTCCTTCTGCTGTTAAGTCACAGGGCTGTGATTCCTAGGGCTAGAAGAAACTTGAATCCTGCTAAATCTTCAACACCGAAAACAAAGCCTCATCTTCAGATCCAGGAAAAGATGACCATCAAACTGTGTTCACAAGACACAGGGCCAGAAATTAAAAATATTTAACCCCTCTATGCCCAGGGACTATTGTGGAAGAGGTGGATGTATGAGATTGTAAGGGCTGATTTTGACAGAGAAAATTAGTTCAGAGGTTCTCTGTAAATTAAATATTAATATCAAACATACACTGATCCGACACCAGCATCTGGGTCCTTGTGTCAGATTAACAAGGTTTTCTTGGAGCATAACCCACTTTTTAATTTAAAGAATTATAAAAGGTTATAAAAAGGTTTATACAAATTGTATCTTATGGTCACGATGATTAAAATTTAATAGATTTGTTTATAAGACTTGACAGAGATTTAAGTGGCCTCGTACTGTCTTTATTAGGGCTTATTGTTTGGGAAATTAAGTCTCCTCGCTCAGAAGAAAAATAAAGGTTCTTAGCCTTTTTTTCAAAACCTTTGAGTTAGCACTTAAAATGACTTATTTTACAATGACCTGTGATCTTATTTTGTGATATCAAGTATTTTATTTTATTTATTATTTTTTGGAGACAGAGTCTCACTCTGTCACCCAGGCTAGAGTGCAGTGGCACAATCTTGGCTCACTGCAACCTCCACCTCTCGAGTTCAAGCAATTCTCCTGCCTCAGCCTCCTGAGTAGCTGGGACTACAGGTGCATGCCACTACGCCTAGCTAATTTTTGTATTTTTAGTAGAAATGGGGTTTCACCATGTTAGCCAGGCTAGTCTTGAACTCTTGACCTCAGATAATCCACCTGCCTCGTCCTCCAAAAGTGCTGGGATTACAGGCATGAGCCACTGTGCCCAGCCTATATCAAGTGTTTCAAACTTCTGATAACTTTCCAGAATCAAATTTTGGAAACAAACTTTCCAGAATCAAATTCAAAATTCAGTCCTTTTGACCTCGATTATTGTTTTGATAGTAGATCCCTTGAGCTCCAAGGGAAACATCTTGGGCTTACTTGGTATAATACAATCATACAAGAAGCACTGTCAAATATGAAATGGTGTTTAATCATCTTTGGACCATATTTATGTAAGTGTGTTATTAGTATATGTTCCAAAATTGTATGAGATTCCTGTGATTCTGATGTGTCTTAGTATATGTCATCAATAGTAATTGCTATTATGTAAAGTTGTTGTGTGCCACAGAAGTACCCAAATTTCCTTGTCAATTGTGTCTTTAACCATGGCTGTTCCAAGACTTTTGACATCCACAATTGTTGTTTTACTTTGATCCTTTTATAGGGAAGTTTATAATCAGCTATAGAACTCTGAAGAGTACTCTTAAATATCAGTTCTGATAACTTTAGAGATTGTGCTGTTGGAATAGAAAGGAAAACTTCTAGGACTCATAGGAGGCTGATGTATTCATGAGGATTGCTGATCCAATATCAAGCAAGAAGTTAATTGCATGGGCTGAACTAACAGAAGACTGAAATAATCTTTTATGACATTTTGTTTACAACATTAGGTGTTTTTTTCAGTCAAGAAAACTTTCTCTTTTAAGCTATTTACAGTTTTTAACGATCAAAGTATACTCTAGTGAGCAAAATTTAAAACATAATCCCTTTCTCTCTACCTAATTTCCCCAAAATTTGGAAACTACTTGTGAGCATTCTTAATTTATGGCAATATAATTATTTGCATACATTCAATAAGAATCTATTTTCTTTTCTAACACGACATAATTGGAGACACTGGTTATTTCATGAAGGCTTTGACTGGAACAGCATTTTCAGATTACCTTGAGAAAATAAAGCTGACCTATAGAGCTGATAAAAGCCACTGGACAAACTGGCCTCACCCTTTGTCCTTTACAGGGTCCTGACCTGTGGTAAGTAAAGGATGTCACTTTCTGACAGACCCAAATACTCCAAGTTTTCTTGGAACCTCAGAGAGAGAAGAATTCACCCAAGTCATATGGGTATCTATAGGTACAGATGCATTCTTGGCTAGGCTTGGGGCTTTTAGAAAGGTCTAATCTAAAAAAAAAAAAGAAATAAAAAAATAAAAATGTCTAATCTCAGACTCCTTAAGGAAAAGTTCTAGCAAAGATAATTTAAACAGAGAGAGTAAGTACCTATATGGCAAATCATTACTCTTGCTGTACGTTATGCAAATAATCGAACTAAGTATAAGACTAAAACTTGTTTTATAAACAAGTTGGTCCTACTATGATTTTGTCTTTAATATACATGGGGAATTGGAGAGAGAAAAATGTTTCAAAATAAACCATAGTACACCTGTTATTAGATTCTAGCCTTGTCCAGTGTTTTTCAATTTTTATTATTTTCTACAATTTGGAATGAATCCTAAAATTTTTTCCTGGCTACAAGTCTTTAAAATAATGTTTCAACCTTTTTCCTTCTTTCTTTTCCCTTTTTCCCCCATTTTTCTGATTTGAAAGATTTTTGAAAGACAAAGGAGGGAAAAAATAAAAGCTCAGGACTCCAATTCACTCTGCCAAAGGGAAAAATTAAGCTAAAAGCTGAGTCATGCAAGAAACTATCTTTCCTTTTGTTCCTAAGCAGAGAGCTTATAGATAAAAGGTTTAAAGTCTCCACTGGTGGCCAGCGTGGTGGCTCACACCCTGTAATTCCACCACTTTGGGAGGCCGAGGCCGGCAGACCACCTAAGCTCAGGAGTTTGAGACCAGCCTGGCCAATATGGTGAAACTTCGTCTCTACTAAAAATGCAAACATCAGCCAGGCATGGTGGTGTGCGCCTGTAGTCCCAGCTACTAAGGAGGCTGAGGCAGGAGAATCACTTGAACCTGAGAGGTGGAGGTTGCAGTGAGCTGAGATCGCACCACTCAACTCCAGCCTGGGTGACAGATCAAGACTCCATTTCAAAAAATAAATAAAATCAAATCTCCACAGGTAGTGACTATGCTCACCTGATCATATGTAAAGTGCTGATTTACTGAATGCAAGACAAACACACATTGACTATTCCCCTCACTGCTCCCTTCCTCTTACAAAATGTGGATTCAGTAATGGGACCAGACCCTCCCTCTTTCCCCTCCAGCCTGCTTTTCCCCTTTAAATACTGAAGCCCTCAAAATCATCTTTGGAGAAAGGCACAGATCTCTCTCCCAGACATGCCCTTAACCTTGGCAAAATAAACTTCAATTAATTGAGACCCATCTCAGATACTTTTTCGTTTACTCCTCCGTCTGCCATGTAACTGGCCCCCATCCCCCACCGATGGTCACCAAGACTGCTGAGGAGGCTGCAAAGGGCCTCGCGGCCTCACTACCTTTTGGACTTCTCTGGCCTTCACGGGACCTTCTGTGGCAGAAATCATTTTCATAATTATGAGACTCTTCTCCTCGGAGTTTCCTTTCAACAGGTGGGACATGGATGCTGTGAACTGCTCCTGGGACACATTCTCACTGGGTCCCTTCGCCTTCCCTGTCAGGTCGACCCTCCGCATGCCATCGTACAGCCTGGTGACCATCTCCAGGGGAACAGCTTCCCCGAAGTGGTTCTGCCGGGGACAAGCAGAAAAAATGGTTAGACAGTGCACAAGTTGAACTTGGTAACTCGGAGTTACTAAATTATTTTAGGCAGACAGAGAGGAAAAGGGACTCTTGGGAAGTTTTCATTTTTTAAAGCATCTCTGAAGAAGTTTCTTGTAAAGCCCCAGCTCTTAGAGCCAGGCCTGCAACCTTTGATATGCAAATGCAGTCCATTAGAAACTGGGTCCACCCAACATGGTAATTCCCACGGCCTTCCTGCCCTTTCCCTACATGTTCCTGGCAACATGGCCGCCTCCACATATCCCCATGTGTGTAGAACAACCAGGGCCCCCTGCATTTACACCTTAAAAGGCTAGGGCCGGAGGGCCAGCTTTTTCATGGGCTACGTGAATGACATACCTGGTCAAACCAATCCCGAGACCTATGCAAATCAGACATCACCTCCTCCAGCCTCTGCATATATACCTGGCTGGTGTCCACCGCACTTGAGGACCTCTTCTTTTGGCTCTGGAGCCACCCCTCCCTCTGTCTCTGTATGGGGGAGCCTGTTCCTTCTGCCTTCTCCTTTCTTCTTGCCTATTAAACTCTCTGCTCCTTAAAGCCACTCCACATGTGTCCATGTCATTTTATCTAAACTGGCATGAGGACCAAGAACCCTAGTGTTCTTCCACTCATTGGGAGCCGTATCAGTAGTATCACAGGAAAATAAGTAGGCGGCCAAGAACAGCCTTGGCCACTTCACAATGCTGCTGTCAGCTACCAAATACTCCTGCATCACCAGGATTCAGGATGTTCTCTCACCTAAGGGCTCACACCACCTAAGCGTCCTGGGTGTGGCTCACCTTGGCCATCAGACCCTCCCACAATCTGCTCCCACCCTGCCTCCAAACTCTCCTGTCTCGTCATTCCTGCCTCTGGCCACCATCTGAGCTTCACTGTGCTTTGAAAATCATCTTCATTCTAGATTCTAGCAGCTGCCATTTGCATGTCGGAATTTATTAACACGTGTAACATATGTCTGTAGACAGCTAATTTGGTCTCTGTATTAGGGGTTTCCAAATATACCAGCTTTTACTTCCTGTCCATGTTCCTTGGGCTCAATATGCATTTTTCATTCATTTTTATTTCAATTTTAAATTTAGGGGTTTTTTTTGTGTTTTTTTTTGTTTTTTTGAGACAGCGTCTCCCTCTGTCACCCAGGATGGAGTGTGGTGGCTCAATCACAGCTCATTGGAGCCTCTACCTCCGAGGCTCAGTTGATCCACCTACCTCAGCCTCCTGAATGGCTGAGACTACAGGCACATGCCACCATGCTCACTAATTTTTGTATTTTTTGTAGAGATGGGGTCTTGCTGTATTGCCCAGGCTGGTCCCAAACTCCTGGGCTCAAGTGATGCTCCTGCCTTGGCCTCCCAAAGTGCTGGGATTTCAGGCGTGAGCCACCGTACCCAGCAAATGTAATTCTTAATGCCTGGACGATAACGTTCTAACGAAATATTGTTTTCCTTTTTGGCTCCTGCATCAAATCTGCTTTGGTCCTGGATTTACAACTAATGGAGAGAGCGAGCAAATCACAAGCCAATCACATCCTGCACAGCAGGGTCTGCGAGCTGGACTCTCCTGTAACAACCAGCTGGGTGGACACTGCTTATTCCAGGATCAATAGTCTGCAGCTCTTCGAAGGCAGGCCTCTGCCCTCGCCACTCAAAAAGAGCACTCCTATTTCCGTCAGTGTCTGCAAAGTTCTACTGGAAAAGCCACCTCTCATCCTTTCCTCAAGGAAACTTCATTCCATCACCAAGGTCTTCTGATCAACTCTTAACTGTATGTATCTGAACATTAACATCCACTCTACAGTGAAGTCTGAAATGGGCCTGGCTGATTCTGCTTGTTCCCACAGGCCTCCCGGGGCGCTTCTCATCTAGTGGCGCTGCACACATGCATGCACACACATGTACAACACATGCACACACAACCACACAGCCGTGACCTAGATAACCTCCCTGGCCAGTTTCCTCACCTGCTCCCACGCTGCACATTCTAGAAGAGGAAGGAGGCTACTAGGATGGCTGCCTGGACTCCCAGGAAGATGAGCTGACGGTATCTCCTCGTCAGTGTCTTGCCTCAGTCTGAGCACTCAAACCTGCAGCTGAGAGCCCCATGGAACGGGCAAAAACATGTGCAAACAAGCACTTTTAACTCCCCGCAAGATGAGCCTTGAATCTAAAATATCATGATTTCGTTAGGAATATCATAAAATTCCTAGCCATCGAACACATACACATTCTAGAGGCACAGGTGCACCTGACACATCATGGTTCCCGGACCAACGAGTCCACGAGGGCAGACCCGTCACCCAGTCTGTCTCCCCGTCTCTGGGAGGGCAGTTAGGAGGCACATGGCTCGAGACACAGGAGGCAGGCTATCTCCCCTGATGTTCATCTCAAGTTAGAAATGTCCCCAAAACATCACGTCAATCGTTCATCATCTACTCCAGGTTCTTTTCTTTAGCACCGATAAGAGACTATTGATTTCAAAAAGCAGAAGGGATGCGTTTAGACATTGTCTATGGCCATTTTCACACAGTAACAGCAGAGCAGAGGAGCTGCAACAGAGACCACACAGCTCACAAAGCCAAAACTTACTGGCCCTTTACAGAAAAGGAACTTTTTAGTGTTGCCATCCGTCGCATTACAAAAACAAGCAAGCAGATTCTGGCCTGAGGGCCACAGTCTACAGACCCCTGCTCCCAACTAAACATGAATCACTGGTTGTTACTCTTGCCTGTAGTGCCTTCAGAGAAAAGGATTTGGAGGAGACATTCGGACTGTTTTTATCCGATGACAGAGCATCAAACAATCGATCAATCTCTGCCTGTTCCTCAGGAAGAAACCGTGAACAAAAGCTCTGCCCCACACGGCTTCCGCTGTTCCCCATCTCTTCTGGTATCTGGCAGAATTCTCTGCAGAAGGAAAAGACACAACGTTAGAAAAATCAAAATTTAATGATCACAGAAAATAAATGTTGATAATGACATGGTCAAGTTAATATATATTGACTGAGCCACGAAATGCAGCCAAAACACATCAGAGCTACATAATATTGGGTTTTGAGTTCTGTTTTTGTTTTGTGTTGCTGAGGTGGGATCTCACTCTGCTGACCAGGCTGGAGTGTAGTGGCGCCATTACAGCTCCCTGCAGCCTCAACCGCCTGGGCTCAGGCAATCCTCCCCACTCAGCCTCCTGAATAGCTGGGACTACAGGACCACACGATGATGCCTGGCTAATTTTTTTGTCTTCTGTAGAGATGGGGTCTTGTTACGTTGCCCAGGCTGGTCTCCAGCTTCTGGCCTTAAGTGATTCTCCTGCCTCAGCCTCCCAGTGTTGGGATTAGAGACATGAACTGGCTAATATTGTTTCAAGGTGGCAGAAATTAATAGCTGATACAAAAAAGCTGGAAAAACGCATCCTGACGCCCATGACCTACTGAAACACACCCGTAATTGTCAAAAAGTCTGGGTTTGAGAACATAGTGCCCAAGCTAATATAATCAGAGGCAGAACAAAAAATCTGTATTTTAATCAATCTAAATACTCATTCTTTAAAACCAGAGTGGGAAAATATATATCAAAGACTGAACAATCACACGTATTTGATTAACTCACCTTGAGAATACTGCTACACACTAGTTGGGAAGTTTTTCCTTTGTGATCCTGGCTCTGCCTCCTCCTAGCTGTGTAGTCTTGGGCAAGCTACTAAAACGCTCTCTGCCTCAGTTTCCCCAGTTGTAAGCTGGAGAAGTCACAGCCCAGCCTCAGAAGATTGCCGTGATTATCAACCAAGTCAACCAAAGCAAAGAGCTGAGACCTCCCTGGCACTGAGCGTGCCTATATGATCCCAGCCCACGAGCCTCATGCGTTTGAGGCGCTGGAGGAGAGTTAACAGAGACTGGCACTGACATCAGGTGACCTGGAGCCTTGTTCACTGTCACAAACCTCATTAAAGGAGTAAGTCAAGCACCAGTAAATCAGGGGATTCAAACAAAAAAGCATGGTTAGAAATGAAAACAAAATCTCTCAAGAGACAAAAGGTGCTGTGACTTAATTCCTAGCCCTGGACTTTTTCCGGAAACCCAGTGTCAGTGAGACTGCTGGAGAGACAACCACCTTCTCCCACACAGGCACCTTGATAAACAAAGTCACTGCAACAGTGAATTATTCCCCCAAGGTATTTAGCCAAAGGGGGAAAGGCCATGCTACTAGGATGGGGCATGAGTCATGGTCCGCACCAACACCTGACAATTCAAACCCTCAAGGGATAACAGGGTACAGTCAGGATCTTTCTTTTCTTTTTATTGATATGAGATTCACGTAACATAAAATTAACCGTTTTAAAGTGTACAGTGGCATTTAGCACATTCACAATATGGTGCAACCCTCACAGTTCAAAAACATCTTCATCACCCTCAGAGGAAACCCTGTGCATGAGCAAGTTCCTCTCATTCCTCCCTCCCACATGCCCTGGTCATCACCCGTCTACTTTCTGTCCCAATGCATTTCTGTATTCTGGGTGTTTCATATAAATGAAATTATATGGCCAGGCGCGGTGGCTCACACCTGTAATCCCAGCACTTTGGGAGGCCAAGGCAGGAGAATCACTCGAGCCCAGGAGTTTGAGACCAGCCTGAGCAACATAGCAAGACCTCACCTCTACTAAAAATGTAAAAATTAGCCAGGCACAGTGGCATGTGCTTACAGTCCCAGCTGCTCTAAAGGCTGAGGTGGGAGGATCACGTGAGGATCACAGGAGGTCACAGCTGCAGTGAGCTATGATCGCGCCACGGCACTCCAGCCTGGGTAAAAGGGCAAGACCCCATCTCTAAAAAAATAATAAATGGAATTATATGATATGTGGCCCTTTATGATTGTCTCTTTTCATTTAGCATCACGTTTTTGAGGCCCACCTACGTTGTGGCATGGGTCAGCATTCCACTTGTTATGGCTGATGAGTATTTCGTTGTATGGATGGACCACATTTTGCCTATCCGTCATGAGCTGATGGACGCCGGAGCTCTTTCCACCTTCCGGCTATTATGAATAGTGCTGCAGTGAACATCTGAGTACCTCAGTCCCTCTGTTCCAATTTCCAGTGTGACACCTAGAGGTGGACTTACTGGGTCACGTGGTAATTGTTTAACATTCTGAGGGGCCGCCAGAGTGCTCCCCACTTTATATTCCCATCAGCAACGCATGAGCTTCCAGTCTCACCACACCCCGACTAAAGCGAGTTATTTCTCCGCCTTTTATATGACAGCCATCCTTGCAGCGCGTGGGCCTTTGACAGGCCTCACTGCTCATGTGCCCCCTGCACAGAAAGTCTCCAGTAGGGGGCTCCTTGGAAGGGGATGGAGGTGCCCTTTGCAGAGACAGGCTGGAAACAAGGGCTTACCCGACCCCGTTTGGGGCTGTCACCCATGCCCCATCTGATCTCACCGCTTCTACTGCTCAAGTTTTGCAGCAGCAGGAGAGCCCAGAAGGAAAACCTCCAGCCAGGACTCAACATCCAGCAGCAGGGGGCTGTCCCCAGCTCCAAGACAGAGGGGCCGCGCCAGCTGACCCAGCTCCGAGACACGGGGGCCCCGCCAGCTGACCCAGCTCCGAGACACGGGGGCCCTGCCGGCTGACCCAGCTCCGAGACACGGGGGCCGCGCCGGCTGACCCAGCTCCGAGACACGGGGGCCGCGCCGGCTGACCCAGCTCCGAGACACGGGGGCCCCGCCGGCTGACCCAGCTCCGAGACACGGGGGCCGCGCCGGCTGACCCAGCTCCGAGGGCCTGCACCGGCTGAGTGTGGGCGCTGCAAAGACACAGCCCAAGCAACCAAAACAAAGCAGACCCACCCTCTGCTTCAACTCTAAGAGGCTGCAAGGTGGGCCACACCACCTCCTGAAGTCAGGAGTTCCAAACGAGGTTGGCCAACGAGGTGAAATCCCGTCTCCACTAAAAATATAAAAAATTAGCCAGGCGTGGTGCTGTGCACCTGTAATCCCAGCTACTTGGGAGGCTGAGGCAGGAGAATTGGTTGAACCCAGGTGGTGGAAGTTGCAGTGAGCCGAGATCACGCCACTGCACACCAGCCTGGGCGGTGAGTGAGACTCGTCTCAAAAATAAAAGAAAACAAAAGAGAGAGGAAACAGAGAGAAGGGCATGGGGACCGGTGTGGCCTGGGGATATAACAAGAAGAGTCAAGAGTGGAAAAGGTCCCAAAGGTCACATTCCAGCTGGGTCTTCAGAGACTCACAGGTGGCTCACCAGGAAGTGGGAACAGCATGCAAGGGGCACAGGCAAGAGCATGGGGAGATGAGGGTGGAACTCGGGGCACGTGGGGGAGGGCAGCAGAGGGCTGCAGCACAAGGGGCCCTGGCCTGACTCCACCCAGCCCCTCACTTCCATCCCACTGCAACTCCCCCTTTCTGCCAGAAACAGGCTCCCCCACTGTGGTCGGAGAACAGAAGCAGGGTGCAGACTGGCCAGCCCCCACCGTCCCCAGACGGCCGGGAGAAAGGTGCAGGGCTGGGCAAGTGCCAACAGGCAGGACAGGAGCCCAGAAATGTGCAGAAGTGGCGCAAACCAGGGCAGGCCCAGGAGATGACAGGAAAGGCTTGGATGCAGAGCCAGGCTGGCAACGCCAGTTTTTCAAGCAGGAGAGAGGAGGGTGTGTGAGAGCCCCCCAGTAGGAACCCCAGGGCTGGTGCCAGTGAGGTGGGAAGGTGGGCAGCCCCTAAGAACACAGTGCTGTCCCTGGCACTGCCATTCTTAGTGCCTGCAGAGTGCTGGTGAAGAGACACATCTCAGAATGGCTCAAGGACAGTCTGTCTCCTTTGAGAGCCCTGTGCCAGGCAAGATAAAGAAATGGCCATGGTTGGCCGAGCACAGTGGCTCACACCTATAATCCCAGGACTTTGGGAGGCCGAGGTGGGCAGATCACCTGGGGTAGGGAGTTTGAGATCAGCCTGACCAACATGGAGAAACCCCATCTCTACTAAAAATACAAAATTAGCCAAGCGTGGTGGCACATGCCTATAATCCCAGCTACTCAGGAGGCTGAGGCAGGAGAATCGCTTGAACCCGGGAGGCAGAGGTTGCAGCAAGTCGAGATCGTGCCATTGCACACCAGCCTGGGCGACTGCATCTCAAAAAAAAAGAAAAGAAAAAAGAAAAAAAGAAATGGCAATGATACAAAGTGTTCCACAGTTCGTCCATCCTCGCGCCTCAATCTCTTTCATCAGGCCAGACATCTAATTAATTTGGAGGAGGACATGAGGCCTTTAATGCATTCTTCTCTCTCTCTAAATCCAAGTTCCTGAGCTTTCAGTCCCTGGCAAGTTTTCTTGGTGTCATGGGACTTTCAGAGTACACCTTGGTACATTGGGTGGCCTCTTCCCTGCCAAGTTGTGTATAACACAACCCTACATTGGCCGCGAGACTTCTGTGGGTTCCCTTGTATCAAGTTCTCCTAAAGGACAAGGCATGCCAGGCGCGGTGGCTCATGTGTAATCCCAGCACATTGGGAGGCCAAGGTGGGTGGGTCACCTGAGGCTGGGAGTTCGAGACTAGCCTGACCAACATGGAGAAACCCCATCTCTACTAAAAATACAAAATTAGCCGGGTGTGGTGGTGCATGCCTGTAATCCCAGCTACTTGGGAGGCTGAGGCAGGAGAATCGCTTGAACCCGGTGGGGGGAGGTTGTGGGGAGCTGAGATCACGCCATTGCACTGCAGCCTGGGCAACAAGAGTGAAACTGTGTCTCAAAAAAAAAAAAAAGACAATGCACGCTGGTGCTGAGAGCACACGTCAAGGTTGCTTATACCAGTGGAGCTCAACTGGGGGCAGTTTTGTCCCCCAGGGGACATTTGGCAATGACTAGAAAAGCGTGTGGTTGTCACAACTGGGGAGGGGAGTGCCGCTGACATCTAGCAGGCAGAGGCCAGGGATGCTGCTAAAAATCCTACAGTGCACAGGATGGCCTCACAACAAGGAAGTGTCCGTGTCAGACATCAGTAGGGATAAAGGTAAGAAAACCTGGCTTCTGATGATGTGGGGCAGTGGAACAAAATGGAAGCCAGGTGCGGTGGCTCAAGCCTATAATCCCAGAACTTTGGGAGGATCATTTGAGGCCAGGAGTTTGAGACCAGCCTGGATCATTTGAGGCCAGGAGTTTGAGACCAGCCTGGGTAACACAGTGAGACTTCATCTCTGCCAAAAATACAAAACTTAGCCGGGTGTGGTGGCGTGTGCCTGTATTCCCAGCTATTCAGGAGGCTGAGGTGGGAAGATCCTTGAACCCGGAGGCAGAGGTCACAGTGAGCCAAGATGACAACACTGCACTCCAGCCTAAGTGACAGAGCGAGACCCTGTCTCAAAAAAATAAAAACAAAAGTCTCAGCAGCCCATAAGAAGTGACAAAGATTTTTTGTTTGACCAGACCTTAGTCAGGCTCCTAGGCCCATCTGTGTCCTTCTGTGTAAAATCTGGCTTTAGCAAAAAAAAAAAAAAAAAAAAAGAAAACCACCCATCCTTGATATTTGATCGCCATTATCTGTTCACTTGCAATCTAACCAGGTTTAAAGCTTAGGTCAGAGATATCCAATCTTTCAGCTTTCCTGGGGCACACTGGAAGAACTGTCTTGGGCCACACATAAAACCCACTAACACTAATGATAACTGATAAGCTCATATATCTACAAATATGGCAAAAAAAATCTCATGTTTTAAGTAAGTTTATGAATTTGCATTGGGTGTCATTCAAAGCCGTCTTGGGCCACATACGGCCCACAGGTTAGACGAGCTCGCTCTAGGTGATGTCTGATCACCCCAGCCTGCCTTCAGTAAGAATCTGTTAGGTCACCTGACCCAGAATCCACCTTACCGCCCTCATGTTTCCTTAGCCATTTTCCATCCACCGATCCCCACCCTGTTCCCTGGTTTCCCACTTGCCCATGCTATACTCAGAGTTGAGCCCAATCTCTCTCCTTTACTACAAAATCCCATTGCTGTGGTCCCTACACCCATTGCAAAGGTCTTGAATAATTAATGTGCTTTTAATAAGCATCATTAAGTAATTTATTTAACATAAGATTGAGAAGATTAAATACGGTAACCCAGGGCATTTGATCTGCTTACTGGAGGTCAGAGACAGAATAATGGGCCCAAGACAACAGAGAATGGCTCCTTGAGTTCTTATCTTGGAACAAGAGAAACTGCCCTGCTCGGAAGGAACAGAAGGTTGCTGCGCCTCCGTGATGGAGGGGTGGACAAGAGCCGATTGTCTGCAGGATGGCCCCCATGGTTCCCTCTAGTATCCTAGGAGTGGCTCAGTCACCTCCTGCTCAGAGCTTCTCCAACAGGCTGTTACATGGCTGCTTCCCTCCCTGCCTCCCAAGCCCCAACTCTCTACTCCAAGGGCCCCGCATCTCTAGAGCCACACAAGGGGCCCTCTGTACCCCCACAAGCTGGGGAGATTCCAACTGCCTCATCAGGACAGGCTTCAAAGTCCTGCCTGTGTCTCAGAGCCCAGAGGCTCTTGTGCAAAGGGGCAGCTTGAGCCGGGGCAAGGAGTTCCAGTGGGCCAGAAGGTGACCTGTCCTGCGCTGGCCACCTACATGGCCTGGGAACTGTTATTAGCTAACTGTCCTGGAAAAGCCCAGACGGGTGTGGTCAGAACACAAGAAGGAAGACACCCTCCACACACACTTCAGTGTCTACTCCAGACTGGCCTCCTCCGTGGAGGCACCGCTCCCTTTCCACGTCCACAGAGGCTCTGAATGACCCTTCAACACGGCTGGCCTTGACCCTGGGGAAGGCACCTCCCCACCCTCTTACCTTGACCACATGAATAGCGGGAGGTGCAGGGTGATTCTGATCCCCCCAGGAGACCCTCCCTCCATCCCTCCCAGCTGTCCCTACCCCTCACCTCCCTGCAGCCTTCACCTCTCCCTCCCCCGACCCGATGGCCTGGAGAGGCATGGGAGGCCAGGGAGGGGCAGGGCCCAGGCCTGCTCTGGACCCGTCTGCTCCAGTCCCCACCTCAGCTGGGCCTGTGCCTCCGGGTCAGCTCACCGCGGCCGTCAGCCCAGGTACCTACCCTGCCGGGCTTCCGGGTGGTGTCCTGTCTGGTCCGATCCAGCGGCCCACGGGTTCCTCTCAGGAGCCGCCCCTTCCCCGTTGCCAGGCGACACTGCTGAGGGGCAGTCATTTGTCCCAATCGCGGAAGCAGAGGTGTGGGGCGGAACCCAATAGATTAGTCAGCCAATGGTGACGCACCTCACAGGGAATGGGCCGAACCTGGTGGGTGCGGCGAGGAGGCGGGGCCGCGGTCTGCGGGAGGAGAGGCTGCAGGCTCGGGAATCCGGTCCAGCTGCGTGCTTACCAAGGTGCCGCCTGGAGAGGGTGGCCGATGACTCAGGCCCGGCTGCGCCTAGTGCCAGCAGTGGTACCTGGGGAGAAGGGGTGTCTGGGCTGGGTGCTGGAGCGGAGCAGCCAGCGTGTGGGAGATCCCGGGGGAGAGGCTGAGCTTGGGGGTGAAGACACCCCGGGGGAGTAGAGTGGCCCATGTGGACACAGCTGAGAGGAGGCGGGACTCTCCCCTGCAGAGGCCTCCACAGTACAGCCTCATGGGCCCCAGGCAACTGCCCCCCGACTCCCCGGCCTGCTGGTCCTGGCCTGGAGCCTTGGGACCGCCTCCCCGGGCCTCCCCTCTGCCGGCTGCCCCTGCCTCGCTCTTCCCTGGCACCAGGTCCTTTCCGGCAGCCATCAGGCGCCAGCTCCACAGCCTGGCTAAACAGACTCCCTCCACCCCACGTGCCCCGCTTCAGCCGGTTTCTCGTCACTCCAAGACGTCTGAACCTGTCACCCTACTTCTTCAGCTCGTTCCTTCCCAAACCCTCCGAAACCTGGTCCCGGGGGCCTGGTCACTACATCCAAGGGGTGCTTTGGGTCCCCGCAGGCAGCATTTGGCGCTTGGTGATCGTGCTCTTAGAGCTCTCTCGTGGGCACCCCGGCACCCATTCCTGGCCCTGGCTAGCTCGCTGTCGCTGGTGGTCTTCCCTGGGCCCTTCTGGCTTCTGCTCTGGAGTTTCTCGGCTTCTCTCTACTCTCTCCACCCCATGCATCCTCCCTGGGGACCACCTTCCTGTACCGGCTCCCTCCCCTGCACGACCTGCTGGTTTTCCAGCCTGGAATACTGTGACCTCGCCCACTAGCACCGCACACTTATCAGGTATCTGCACGAGGCTGTTTCACCAGGGCCTCAAAACTCAGCCTCTTTCCTCCAGAACTGAGTTTACCTCCTGTCTCGGTGCATCATCTCCCCTTCCACAGCCTGAGTCAGAGACCCGGAGCCACTGTGGACGCAGCCTCCCCACTGTCTTCCCATGTCTGAGTGCTTACATCTGACTTCTAGGATGTGCCCTCCATCCGCCCGCTCCCTTCCACGTCCCCAGGACTCCCAGGCTGGAGGGCAGTAATGGTCTCCTTCCTTCCTGCAGCTCATCCCCCACAGTGGGACTATAAAAATCCACCTGGTGAGGCAGGCGGGCTGCTTGAGCTCAGGAGTTGGAGACCAGCCTGGGTAACATGACAAAACCCCATCCCTACAAAAAAACTAGCTGGGTGGGGCAGTGCACACCTGTAGTCCCAGCTACTCAAGAGACTGAGGAGGGAGGATCACGTGACCCTGGAAGGTTGAGGCTGCAGTGAACTGTGACTATGCCACTGCATTCCAGCCTGAGTGACACAGTGAGGCCCTTTTCTTAAAACCGCAACAACAAACATCCAGCTGACCACTCATCAAGCTGGAATAACAGGTGCAGATAAAACCAGCCGCAAAGTTAACAAGCAACCTTGGTTTTCAAGGACATGCTGCAGCAGTTATCGCATGTCACAAATCACCAATTTGCAAGAACTTTGCTATGTGAAATCCTATCAGTAAGAAGCAAACAGCCTGCTCCTCTCCCTTGAGGGTGTAAATCACTTTGATACGGAAGCAGCTTGGGTTTCCAACCTGGAGGAAGGGCCCCAAACAGTCCACTTCTGGGCTCAGTATTCCATAACTATCATGACCTGGGGGCCCCCCAAAAAACAGGAGCCTCTTTGCAGACTAGGCCTGATGCTGCCTGCCTCGCACCTAGCCTTGTTCTGAGCCTGTCAGAAGCCTGCCTCATCTACGCCTGTGATCCCAGCACTTTGGGAGGCGAAGGCGGGTGGATCACCTGAAGTCAGGAGTTCAAGACCAGCCTGGCCAACATGGTGAAATCCTGTCTCTACTAAAAATACAAAAATTAGCCAGCATGGTGACAGTCACCTGTAATCCCAGCACTTTGGGAGGCTGAGGTGGGCGGATTACCTGAGGTCTGGAGTTCTAGACCAGCCTGGTAAAACCAGGTGAAACTCAGTCTCTTCTTAAAATGCAAAATTAGCTGGGCATGGTCATGGGTGCCTGTAGTCCCAGCTACTCTGGAGGCTGAGGCAGGAGAATCACTCGAACCTGGAGGTGGAGGTTGTAGTGAGCTGAGACGGCGCCACTGCTCTCCAGCCTGGGCAACACAACAAGACTCAGTCTCAAAAAAAAAAAAAAAAAAAAGGGGCTGCCTCATCTAAACCTCACCTGAGCTCCACCCTTCTACAAGATCCTAGGAACACTCTCTTTACCTGTGTCCCTTGAGCTGCCCAGGGTTCCCTGGGGCCACAGATGAACAGGCCTGACTGTCAGACTACGGGCTCCATGCTGGTGGTGTCAGGCTAGTTGGGCTGGCACAACTGTAAGACCATCGGGCAGCATTTGTCTCTACAGTTTGCAAATACCTACTGCACACCTACTACGTGCCAAGTGCTATGCCAGGCAGTGGTGACCCAGCACCAAGAGCCTCTGACCTCCGCATGCTCTACCTCTAGCCCTCAGTCCTCACTTGCCGAAGAAGTGGGGCATGACATGACAGGTACATTGAGGGGAGAGGGATGGTTAGGGAGGGGGTGGCTGTGGATTAGATAAGGAAAAAAAAAACAAGGACATTGGAAGGGTTGAGGGTGAGGGTACCAGCAAAGCAAGAGGTGGGATTTAAAGATACAAACAGGAACCTCTAGGCTTGAAAATAACTCAGGGGCCATCTGAACATTTTCCTTTCTTGTGTCAAGGGTCTGCTGCCTTTCCAAGCCTTTTCATCATCAGAATCCAGCACCACCCTCCCAACACCCCTGGAGGGGAGGCATTGCTCCCGTCATCAAAACAGTGGGCTTCAGAGAAGTGACTTTTCCAGAGAGACACAGCTAGAGTGCGGGGACTCTGGGCCCCAGGTCTGAGTCCAGGGCTCTTCCCGGTGCGGCACACTCGCTGCTGTGGAAGTAACCTGGTTTGATCAATCTGCGGCCATTTCTATGGAGTGGGAGGATGGAGCCTCTGGTTTTCAAAGACCTCATGGGGTCAGCCCTCAGTGGGCATTGTACTTGCAGGTGGAACCCAAGACGCCCCAGGGAAGAACTCACTTCAGTAATGAGAGTACGTACGGGCTGTCCTCCAGCCCATAGGTGCTAGTTGACAGGGATTTCATGAAGCCACTACACTGTAAGGTGATGGTGGCACAGGGCTTCATAGCTGCTGTGAGGAAGTGGTGGGGAGGAGTCTTTACCCTCTGCCTCCTCCCTCTCCCTCCAATAGGTGGCCGGCCTGGACCACCCCTGGCCTCCCACCTCCACGGCTGCCTCCCTCCCTGCCTGCTGCTCTCCAACTCAGTCACTAGAGTGACAGAAAATCACATTACCCAACTTCTGAAAGCCCTTCAAAGGCTTCTTGCCATGGTTCACAAGGTCTTGCCTAACTTCTAATCTCACCTGCCACCCGATTTCTAATCTCACTGGTGGGGCAGGGGTGATCTCCCCGGCCCTTCTGCCGGCACTCAAGAGAAGCCTTTCTTTCTCACTCCTCCCTGGGCGGGGCACCGCCAGATTGTAGCCTGGCCCTACCCTTCTCACCTTCCAGGTTTGGGCTCACCGCGAGCTCTTCCGGAAGGCCTGCCTCCACCACACTCAGGCCTCCCTGCCTGTCTGCTTCCTGCTCGCGCTTCCCTGATTGGCTTTTGTGGCCCTCGCTGCTCTCCGCCATTGTTTTATTTTGCTGTGTTTTTTCCTCTTCTCCCCCCCCACACTCCCAGAATGCAGGCTCCTACTAAACACACCTGCCAGCTTTGCCTTAATACAGAGCCAAGTGCCTGGCACCTGGTGGGTGCCAATAAATATCTGTTGCAAGAAGGAAAGGATAGGGTGGCCGCTTGCAGTGATGTCATTTTGACTCCAGCCTGACTATGCAACAGCAGCGCCAGCACCTGCCAAGAAGAGCTCCGCACTGAGCGTGGCCGTGCTCAGCCAGTGAATTCCAGCCAACGACCGGAAGGCTGGTGTCTCAGCCGGCCACCCTGATTCAGGGACACAGGATGGCAGCACCTGTCGTGTGCCCACCCAGCTGTGCCAGCCTTTGGGGAGCTCCCTGGCTCCAACATCAGCTGATCAGGGCTGGATGGACTGCCCATCCGGGTGTCCTCACCTCCTGCCAACCAGATATCCCTTTTTTTTTTTTTTTTTTTTTTTTGGAGACAGAGTCTCACTCTGTCGCCCAGGCTGGAGCGTAGTGGTGCGATCTCGGCTTGCTGCAACCTACACCTCCCGGGTTCAAGTGATTCTTCTGCCTCAGCCTCCCAATTAGCTGGGATTACAGGCACCTGCCACCACACCCAGCTAATTTTTGTATTTTTAGTACAGACGAGGTTTCACCATATTGGCCAGACTGGTCTCGAACTCCTCACCTCAGATGATCTGCCTGCCTCAGCCTCCCAAAGTGCTGGAATTATAGGGGTGAGCCACCGCACCTGGCCGGACATCTCTTATTGTTTAAGCTGCAACAAAAATAGAAGGCATTCTGCCTGAGGGCAGCAGGCCTGGCTGGTGACAGTGCACAAGGCAGGGCCCCTCACCAAGAAATTGCTCCGACATCCGAGGCCGATGTCCCAGGAGAAGCAGCCCCACAGACTAACGCATCTAGAGCCAGGGTACCCCCACCCTGGATGCCAGTGACACAAGTGACTAGCCCCGGCTCTTCACCTCGGCTTCTTAGAGTTAGGTGCCTGTCACCTGCAGCCAAGGTGCCTGATGCCCAAGACACACGGGCCTTTAGACATGCAGGACTGGACCCTGTTTCCAGCCTTCACACCCCTGTACTTCCTGCACACATCAACCAGGTGTGTCTTTTTCAGTGCCAT